AGAGGGTAACCAGATGCCTGATGGGAGCCCTTCGAAAAGGGGTACCATCTGTTCAGTGGCACTCCGCCTCTCCTTCCTGCTAAATCTATGTTGCTGCGTTTTACCCGCGGCTTCCTGCTGGCTGCTGCTTATGCTTGCAGTTGGGGCTGGCTAAAGGCGGTCTGCTGCCCGATTGCTGCGGCTTGTTGCTGCCAGGCTTTCTGGAGATGCTAATTGCTGCTGCTGCTTGCTTCGGCTGCTAGCTGCTACTGACCTTGCTGTCGCTGGCTCGGCGTGTTGCTAACGCTTGCTGCTGCTTATGCTGCTTGCTGCTTGCTGCTTGCTGCTTGCTGCTTGTTGCTACTGCTACTGCTACTGCTACTGCTACTGCTACTGCTACTGCTACTGCTACTGCTGCTGCTGCTGCTGCTGCTGCTGCTGCTGCTGCTGCTGCTGCTGCTTGATTGTTGCTAACTGTTGCTGCTGCAGCTGCTTATTGCCGCCGAGGGCCTGTGCTGACTGCTGCTGGTTCTTGCTACCGGCGGTTGCTGATGACGGCTGCTGCTGCTGCTGCTGCTGCTGCCACTTGTTGCTGCTGACCGTGCTGCTGCTGGCGCGGCCCGCTCCTGCTGACTGCTGTGCTCTTCGTGCTTGCTTGCTGCCGCGGTCGCTGCTCCCTGCTGCCCATGCTGGACTCTACTGCGGCTTTCCGCTGCTCGCTGCTGCTGTCTTCCGCTTGCTGGCTGCCTCAGTCTGCCGCTGCCGGTTCTGCCTGGATGGTCCGGGGACCTCTTGGAGCCCACCTGGGGGTGTCTTCGGGCTGTCGTGGGCGCGTGTCGGCCGGATGAGGCGCCCTGGGGGGGGGCCATCTGGGGGCCAGCGGGGGTATCGTCTTCGGGCCCTCCGAGGTCGTACTGGGGCGTCTTGGGGCCCCCCGAGACTGTCCGAATGTAATCCGTGCTCTCTCCAGGGCCATCGTGGCGCTCTCGTCTGGGATGTCTCCTGGCCAGTCTTGAGGCCCGTAAGGGAGCCCATGTGGGTTGCCTTCGGGCACTCTTTGAAGCCATCTTGGGTCGCCGCCTTCGATGCTGATTGAGGTGCTTTGGGGAGCTCGGCAACATCCCAGAAGTCATCTCAGACCCTAGCATTTTGTTGGCTGATTTTTTGCTGACCCAGCAGCCAGAGCAAAGACGTGCTTTCGCAGTCATGTTCTGTCTTGGGTCGCTCAGGGCCTGTTCGGGCTTCTCCTGAATGATGTCGTGCCCCTGGGTGGGCATTTTGAGTCATACGGTAGAGGGAAACAGTTCGTGGAAACTCCCCCGCCCCCCAAAACTCAAAGTTGGCACTCAGGGGTGATGTGTTTCCAACCTACTTTAGCCTTGATCACCCCAAAAGAGTTTCGAGCACAAAGAAAATACCGAACTTGCAGGGTTTTCACGCGTCTGGCCCTGGGAGGCGATAGTCGTTCGACACTTTTTCTATACTTTTCTGGGTGCTCGAAATTGTTTCTGGGATGTGGTCCCTAAATACGATTGGAGCAGCGTGACGCGCGGGGGGGACTGTGGTCGAAATGCAACTCATCAGACCCACCGCCAACTTTGAACATTGGGGGGAGGGGGTGGCGTTGACCGAAACATGTGGCATGCGCGTTCGCTATTTTGTACGAGGCCTGTATTGGAAACCTCCAGGCGCGTCTCCCGATGCCCCCTTATGGCCTTCGGGGCCGTCTCGGGTCGGGGAGGGCGCCGACCCAGGTCGGCGCTGGCCCAAACCGACCAGGGCCGCATCCTAGATCAGATTCAAGATACTTCGAAGCTATGGGCTTCATTCCAAGTGTGCTTTTGAACGGAACGCTCTGCGAAAAAAGAGGCTACAAGAACCCGCTCAGGGCCCAGTCGAGGCTCTTGATCTCTGGAACGAGATCTGGAGCCCATGGGAGCTGACGCTTCTCCTAAGACTCCCGATCGGGCTATGTCACGAACCTGGGCCAGCCACCTGCAGTCGGATCTGGGCCAGAAGCACATCCCTCGAGAACAGGAGGCCCGCCGTCGGCCAACATTGCGAGAACATCTGCTGCTTAGGATGCACACGAGCACAAGAACCTCCAACAGACATGAAGAACACCACCCAGACCCCCGACGTCATGATCTGTTCATGACGCGACCCCCAGAGGTCCGGACCCATCCCCTGGGACCCGCTTCTCATCCCGAGTCCTTCCTTGACGGTCCCGAGGCCCGGCGCTGGCCCCCCGAGGCCGAACACAGCGAAACGCCTCCCGTCGTGATCTTTGTCCCACCGCGAGGGGGTCTGGGCAGGGTGCTCTCCCCGAACCCGACCTCGATCTCATGCCTCGGTCGGACGGTCGCAGCTCCCGAGCCTCGGCTGCCAGAGGAAGGGACAAGGGGGGCGGGGGCCGGCTCCACGCGGCTCCCTGCCCCCCGGGGCGGTCAGAGGAGATCATCCGCTGGCCCCCGGTCTTGCCATCGCTCGGACGTCCATTCCCCGTGCATTTTTCGGTTTCGTGAGTTTTCGGTTTGAAGAATTGAAGAACCCGAAAGATGATCCAGGATGCTCTGGGATGGTCCTCGCCGAGAAAAACAGGCACGCCTGTGAGCGAAGCCAAGCGTTCGGGCCCCCATGATCTGCGACCCAGCTGAGCGACGATCAAAAACGGGTCTTGCGCGAGATGGCGTAGCGACATTACGCCGTGGCTTGCGCGGACCACCAGCGCGACACGGCACATTGAAGACGAGGGCGCTTACGCGCGACCTTCCGCGGGCAGCTTGCGTGCAAGTGTCGGCGAAGATGACCCCGATTTTTGCGTCGGCCAACCAGGAGTGCCTCCTGAAGGCCGGCGGCCCGCAGCCGCCCCGCAGGGCCTCGAGGGCCCTCGGGGAAGGACTCGGGGCAGGGGCCTGTTCCGCGCACGCGCGCGAGGCCAGCCCGAAGTTGCAGAGGCGATGACGCTGGGCTCCAAGCCGTCCTCCTGCATCTTGCCGAGCAGCAGCAGCGCCTGCCGCCAGTGCCCGCCTGTGCCGCACGCGCTGATCCCCGCGCTGTAGCTGATGTCGTCGGGCTCCAGTCCTGCCTGCAGAAGATCGCTGAGCAACGACAGCGCCTGCTGCCACTGCCTGCCCTTCTCGCATGCGCTGATCCCTGAGTTGTAATTGATCACGTCGGGCATCACCTTCGCATTCTGCATCTTCGCGAGGAGCGACAGCGCGTGACGCCACTGTGCCCCTTTCTCGCACGCGCTGATTCCAGCGCTGTAGTACATGACGTTGGGCTCCAAATGTGCCTCGCCCAACTCTATGAACAACGAGAGTGCCTGCTGCCACTGTTTGCTTTTTGCGCACGCGGTGATGGCTGCGGTACCCAGGATGGTCTCCACTTGGGTGCGCGGTTGGGACGCTTCTCGGAGCAACTTCAGGGCCGTTTTCCATTGCTTCGTTATCCCACACTGCTTGATGGCGGCTGCCAAAGAATACACGTCAGATCGATGTTTCAGCTGTCTCGCAGGTTGGCGACTCTGCGCCATGCGCCGTACCACTCGGCACAATCGACATCGAAACTCCAATCCTGAGAACCGGCAGACACGCCGTCAATCGGACAAGCCAATCGGCTTGCGCAAAACCTTCCGGAATTCCCCGAGGGGCACAATGGGACAAAGAATACTGGGAGTGTGCCTAATGAGCAAGCGCGCGGCGAACGCAGCAACCAATCATCGAACACGTATGTGGCCGACCCTGCGGTCGGGAACTTCTGCCTAGCGTCTCGCGGCGGCGGCCCCGGCGACACGATATACCACGCGAGCGGACAAGGTGTCGCTCCGCTCCCCTGGGCGGGAAGCTTGGGAACAACCCGGGACGTGGACGCCCGGGGGATGGGGAGAGGAGGAGGAGGAGGAGGAGGAGGAGGAGGAGGAGGAGGAGG